AGGAAGAAGAAGAAGCAGGAGAGGAAGAAGAAGAAGACACTGACAAGCACAGGCCAAAGGTACAAAAGGCCATTGATAAACTGGGCCGATGCCCCCTTGATGGCACAAAGATTGCACAGAAGCCACTTACTGCATCACCGGAGACACTGCTAGCGATGATTATTGATGCCATGCTGAAGTCGCGCCCGATCTCGCATGATCTGACTCAGCGCACAATCACCAAGGTTATTGATGCTGGGTATCATGATATCCACAAATTGCTGGATAGTACCTGGGAAGAGCGCACGATGATTCTCAAGGATGGAGGGTACAATCGGTATAGGGAGCAGGGAGCTACTAATTTAGGAGAACTGGCAAAATTAGTCGAGGGCAAATACGGTACGTACAATACACACTTATCTCGACTGTTATAAGGGTGGTATATTGCTACTTGACTAACTCTGAGAACGCGTAGATGGTGATCTCAATAATCTATTGGAAGAGGCACATCACAACCGCGACGAAGTAAGGCAGCTCATCAAGGAGATCAAGGGTCTGGGCGACTTAGGCGCCGATCTATTTTTCAACAATGTACAGAGTGTGTGGCCTGAAATTGCTCCGTTTGTTGACAAACGCAGCCTGCAAACGGCCGATCAAGTCGGGATTAGCACCGATCTGGATGCCATCTACGCCGATCTGAAACGTGATTCAATGAAGATGAGCAGATTGGCCAATGGCTTATCTGCTGCGAGGTTAGATAAAAGGCAAGGAGAGCTTCTAAGCGTTTGATTGCTTCGATTGAAGTAGTTTATCTCGTGTACATAGTTAGGGCAATTATAGCTACAAGTAAGATTTTGATTGGAAAAGGTACACTCAACGATGCCTGATGTGTGCGGTAGTACAGTAAGAATGCCACGTAGTATTGTCTCACCTTCCTTGCACGATAGGTTTTCCATAGAAAAACCATGTAATGTAGTTTAAGCAGTTGCTGGCTTGACTCTTTCGTTTCTCGTACAAAAGTACATTCAAAGTTACAAATCTCTATAGAGTCTAAGCTATTTTTGCCCCCAATCCACGTAAAATATGATCCCTAACAAGTCCTAGTAAAGGGCTGTCACTGGTCAGATCGTGCTATATGTCGATGCTATATGGCAAGGAAAAGAAGGGCTAGATCCCCAACTAATAGCACAGCGAACAAAGAACTCTACAGGGCTAACCCAACCCAGCATATCCCTGACAGTTCCAGGAAGTACTTATAGACATTTTGGTTCCTGTTGAGCTCTACTTACTTCAGTCGAATTTCCATCCCTCATCCCACTTCTACCTTGTTATGGAGCCACATCCAATTCTCCTCCTCCTCTTGGAAGTGACCGTTTGCGCGGCGGTATTAGGCTTCACGAATCCACAATCTCCGCTTCGGCTGGGTGGCTTGCTCGTTGTTTTTCTATGTATGTGGCAATGCATCACGACATCTCCCATCTATCTCGTACGCTCCGCCTGGGCCTCTCTGGCAGGCGGATATGCAGTGATGCTCTTCTTCCATTATATCGACATTGTACTGCTGAGTCAATGGTCCTTTGAGCCAAATGTGTCAGCAACCGAACGTCCTCAATATGAACATGAAGCTATCAGACATCACAAGTCCTCAGGAACGAAGAAACGTAGTTCTTGGAAAGAGAAGTTGAAATTTGGCCTTTCATCAACATTTACAGCCCGGTTCTGTGGCACCACACACGAAGTCAGACATGTACCTCGATTTTCGAACAGTGACCCTGACCATGTCCCATCTCGGACCCAATTCATTCGGAATACTGCCCTGACAGTCCTCCTTTGTTATCTGATACTCGATGCAATGGATGCGGGCGCCGACCCTGCGATGGTTCGCGAATACTTCTCAGAGCAGAATATCCCGCTTTTCAGACGTTTTCGTGATGTCTCTGGCAATGAGCTTCTTATGAGAGCCTCCGGAAGTATTGGAGTTATCCTCGGTCTGATGTGTTCTCAAGGAGGCTTCTATAACCTCTTCGCCTTGATTGGCAATGTACTCGGCTTAAGCGCTCCTAAAGATTGGCCACCCTTCTATGGATCACCGCTGGAGGCCTACTCGTTGAGGCGTTTTTGGAGGTGAGTACACCGACCTGAATAACCCAACCATTATTGTAAACTGGTGAGAAAGAATTCCTGACACGAACATACTATTTCATCTCGTCTGCAGTCTTTTCTGGCATCAAACAAACACCCACAAGTTCAATTCCATCTCCAACTTCATCCTGCGCAATGTCTTTAATATCCAATCGCGCCGGGGATTAATCCCAAAGTACGCCAGGGTAGTAACCATATTCTCCCTTTCTGCAGTCATGCATTTCCTCATCGACATCTCGGCCGGCGTCCCAGTCCACAAGTCTGGAGCGATCCCTTTTTTCTGCACCCAGGCCTTCGGCATCGTGATAGAGGATAGGGCCATAAAGCTGTACAGCTTCATCACAGCATACACCAACGTGAGACTGCCCGTATTGGTGGAAAGGGTACTAGGCTTTACCTGGGTTGGACTCTTTCTGGTATGGTCTATCCCGATGTATGTGTATCCGATGATGTATCGCACAGCGGCGGGGCTTGATGATGCGATTGTTCCATTTAGAATTATTGGGTTGTTCAAGTGAGGAACCTATATGCTTTTTGTTTGAGGTAGTTGATCTACTGACTGAAGGAACTGATTAAGTAGTACCATTCAGACTATCAAAGTTTGTTGAAATTAATATTTGTAACCACGCGATTAGAGTCACAGCGTGTGGCGCCTACTTCTCTTCGGGAGCCCTACCTTGCCCCATCTTGCTCGTAGTCTTAATACAGGGATTAGTTACGTAAATTGGGAAGACATTGGCTTACGACTGGAGACTAAAATAGTTGGCGCAGTAGGCTTGAGTCAAGAACCCTGTAAAAGGGCGCAAGGCTGTGACTCACCACTTTGCGACATTAGGGCAGCAATAGGAGACACTTTGGGCTAGGAGCCAAGCTACTACTAGTAGGATCATATCTAGCTGATGGCTGTAATGGTTTACGTTGTATTAGCCTGAACCTCACAAACCCATGGATGCCCTCATAAGATCCACCTTAGGTGTGCATCGACTGAAATGGGCAGGCAGAAGATACAAGGCATTGGATAGTAGAACCCTAGACCAATTCAGATTATTTCGTTGAAAGACATAAACAAATGGTCTGTGTGCACAGCACTATGCCCTGTAAATATGTAAATTGTCCCTTCTTGACTTGAGTCTTAAGGGTGCAGCCGAAAATAGTAGCAGAATATATATTTTTACTGCATGAAATATGTAAAGGGTCCCTTGATTGTTCGTGGAAGCTCCGGAAGGCCACCGATGGTGCTTGCTTCATATATCTATACATATTAGTTCTTTATCGGTTTATGAGTTCTATGGTTTTTCTAGCTTGCTCCTTCACACCTAGAAGCTTCCATAATAGAGATATTCCTTTTCCTAGATGCGATTCAGGAAAATATTAACTATCCAAGCCAGCGGTTGAATATCCACATGTGACTTGCATTCTATCTATACATGTAACATGACCACATACGCAGGGCTCTGTTGTCTCAGTGTTGTACATTTGGAGAGATCACGATGCAAAGGCTAAACAATATATTTTGTGTCCAGCCAAGGCTGGCTCTGGATGTTAGGAAAGACTCACAATCTTTCCAGCAGGCTCGACCTATAAACTTCGCGCAAATGACAACAAATAACCATTTCTTTGGCTACACGTCGGGTCGTTGGCTATATAATGAGCAGCAACAATTGGAAAAGCGATATGTTGAGTTTAATGTCCCAAATTTGCAGAAGACCGTTGGTCAAATAGTCGGGAGTCAGTGTATCCAAATGACTAAAATGCCTGAGGGGCTTTACAACAAAGTGTTCTCTTTGAAAATGGAGAATGGCAGGGAGGTTCTGGCGAGAATTCCAAATCCGAATGCTGGCCATCCCCGTTATGTTGTGGCTAGTGAAGTTGCAACTCTCGATTATGTGTATGGCTTCAGATATTTCTTGGTGAATTTGTTGGTTGGCTAACGTCTATTATAGCTTCGCAACGTTCTCGATATCCCAGTCCCCAGAGTACTTTCGTGGAGCAACCCGTCACAGCATAACCCAGTGGGTGCCGAGTATATACTGATGGAAAGGGTGAAAGGGCGTCAGTTAAGTGAGGTCTGGGATAACATGTCGGAAGCTGAACGCTTTGGTCTGGTGAAGAGCTTGGTGGGAATTGAGCAGAAACTGGCGAGTTCAAGGTTTGCTGTTCATGGCAGCTTGTACTATAAGGATACATACCCGCACAGCACGACCTTTGTTGACCCAGTTGAAGTGGAACGAGGGAATCCGTCGAATTTTGTTATTGGCCCGATAACTCAGCGTTCCTTTTGGGAAGATGAAAAAGCAAGAGCTAGATATCGATCGAGGCCCTTGTATGTGCATTTTGATCACTGATAAGTCGCTTTGCTTGCACCATAAACTGATAACTTCACTATTTAGGAAAAACGACGCAGGAGTATTTTTCAGCCATCGCAAACAGTGAGATCGCCCTAATCCGAAATCCACCAAGTAGATCCAGCGATATGTCTGTACCTTCGGCAACAACATCACCGAAACGTAATATGCATGTACGTCTTCTTGAACAGTTTTTGATAGTGCTGCCTCATATACTACCACCGGAGGAAACCCTTTGTCCTGCCTTGCTGCACCATGACCTTCACTCGGACAATATTTTTGTTGAATTCATCGGATCCGACCAAAATATCGAGCATAATCGATTGGCAGGCAGTCTACGCCGCGCCACTCTTCTTACAGGCAAAGTTTCCTTCAATATTTGATTGCGACGATCCATATCCATGGGGTGCTGTTCAGCCTAAGTTACCAGAAGGGTTTGATACTCTTTCACAACTAGAAAAGCAGGTAGCCGAAGACAAGCTTGAGAGGCTTAGATTGAAAAAGTTCTACGAACTGGCTTCAAGAAAATTCAACCCGACTCTCATTAGAGCCATGGATACCATGAGGAACGATGATGATCCTACATCCTTTATATTCCACATTGTCGGGCGGTCCTCCCTAGACGGTCCAATTCCACTCAAAGAACTTCTGATACAGATATATGAGAAATGGGGCCGAATAATGGAGCGGAAGGGTTTAACGATACCTTGTCCTATCTCGTTCTCAGATGACGAGATCAGTAGAACTCGACAGCAGGTAAACGTATGGGCAAAGGTATATGGTGACTTTGAAAGTCTGCGAACAAAGCTCGTTAGCGATGATGGCTGGGTCTCACATGAGGTATATGAGGAGGCCAGGTGCAGGTGGGAGACCAACAGAGTGACTTTCATGATGCTACGAGAGCGATTAGAAAGGCTACTGTGAAATTTCCAGGAAGATAATTCCGGTATCAAGACCACCTGTCATATACTCTACTAGTACTCTGTAATGGTAGTTTGCATTTGATACCTATTCCATCTCGCCTCCTTTATTCCGCCCTTTCAACTCCTCGCATAAAACCAATGTACAGCAATTAAGCGCATGGTGGTACTCATCCGTATATGCTAACGCAGTTCTGTACTGCAGATGATCCCTAGCCTTGTGCTACTCAGATAAATTTATTTGATACTTGTATCCCCTACAGTCAAAGGCCAAGATCATCAATGTATTCAATGCCTCTTTGTATTGGTGAAACAATATGTATGTACGAGATCGAATCTAACATCTACATAAGATTAGCCTAAAGAGTGTTGGGAATCATTTTAATCTACCTTGCATATTACAGACTGTGGAGCTCGAGCATTTAGGGATTTTTAATGCGTGCGTGTAAATATTATGTGTATGGAACATGGTAGCAATTTAATTGAGTTCGACGGTCAAACATATCATTAAAATATCTCTCGAAGCGATTTAATGAGATGGATGGATGCGTCGGACGTCCATTGCCGTTCATGGAAGACGTGGCGCTACGCCAGTTCCGGTTAGACGTGCTCAGTCATCAACTGTTGGTCTTGGCAGACCCGCTGCTTGCGACGGCGGAGTGCTTGGAGCCTCGCCGTCCTTGTTTCCCCGTTCTCTCTCCTCTCTGCTTCTTTTTTCTTTGCTTAAGAAACTTTGTTCCAGCAAGAGACTCTTCTCCCTTCCTTTGTAAGTTCTCGCTTGGTCCATTAGTCAATTAAGTCGAGCTCCGGGCAAGCGACCACTTCAGACCTCATCCTGACCGATCTATCAGCTATTTACGCTCGCCTACCTCCGCGCGGGCCAGGCTACGAAATTCCCCGACCTGAGTGTTGCTCTGCTCTCAGTCCGAACAGCTGCAAACGCTCTCGCTCCTGATATCCACCTACCGATCCTTTCTTGCGATCTCACTCCCAAATTACTGCTCTATCCGACGAAACGATTGCGTAGACCGAAGGAACTCGTCCAGCTCACAGTCAAAATGGATCTTTCTAATATCTTGTATGTTTATGTGTCTCGTGTTCTACGAGAATCTGGGGCTGCGTGAATGGAGTTAGGGACTGATTATCCGCAGTCGACTTGTCAACATCGCCGTTGGCGTGATTATGGTTTTGGGCGGTATCTCCCAATTCTTCCCTCCGTCCATGAGCTCCATCATCGTTGGTGCATATGTGATTATCTTTGGTCTCCGTAAGATGAACCTGTTTACCCACCCATTGGTCTGTGGATACTGATATAACGCTGCCCATTAGTTGTCGCTGGGCTGGAATTCCTGCCCAACGTCCCGGATTATGTCTACCGCTATGCTTCTTTCCTGTTCTCCTTCCTTGGCCGCGGTATCTGTGAGTCTCCATTCTTAGCTGCATATCCACACTTACCCATTGGGTACTAATCAATTGATCAGTCTATATCTTCGTTGGTTCGATCCTGCTGCACGACCACGTGTTGCGCTACATCGCTGGCTCTATCGTCGGATTCATCGGCCTGGGTTACTTGGCCCTGGAGTTCATCCCCTCGATTGAACCCCCCTCGAACATGCGCGAGAGCGACCAGGGCTGGGGTGCCGAGCAGGTTTAAATGCGGCCGATAAACGTTTGGTCCGGTGACGGGGCAGTAGCATAGCGTACGGTTTAGATCGGCTTACGCCGATTGATATTCGCCATGTAGCCCCACGGATGCACGAAGCGCAATGCACCGCGAATAGATATGGAGTGGTGGAAGCAAGGAGAAAGAGGCGAAAAAAAGTTCTCTTTCTAGGTGATGTGCGACGATCGACGAGTGCGACGAATATCTATGCGACGACTCAATGGATTCGCGATCTGCAAAGATAGTGAGATATACTTATGCAGACGAGTTCGCCATGTGGATTATGGCTATTTGTCTGTCTGTGGGAGTGGATTCATGGATAATTTTTTTTTCTTTCTCAAGTCCGATTTTGGACGGACAGATTTATACTTTGCTTTTCCTGTGCCCTGTGGACCTTGTACTATAGGTGGTTTGTCGTATTTCTTTCTGATATTTAAACTTTTGGAGACATCAGATAACTTGATTGCGTGGCTCTGAGTAAGCTCTGGTCTTTTACCATCGCGCTGTCTGCGTAAGACGCTGATTTTTTCAATATTCGAGAATCTAAAATTCAAGTGCTCGTGACAGTGTAAAGAGAACGATAAAAGGGGGGAAACCTAAATAAAAGAAAAGAAAAAGAAAATAAACAGAATGAAAAGAACTTTTTTTTAAAAAAAAAAAAAAAAAAAAGATAAATCGAAAGCAATAAAAAGAAAAGTGAAGACCCTTACTGTACCAAGCCTTGGGATCGGAAGTCGATACAGATCAATCAATTCAAGATTGCAAGAACCGGAAGTACAAAACCGGTCAACTGCCGAGCAATGGAACCTACAGACAATCTGACAAGTATAGACTGGATCCAACGCATATTCAGCCTTATTCATAAGCACATGATCGCAGCGTATCCTATTTATAAAAAGATAATACCATCTCAACAGCATCAGCACGCTTACGTTCATCATCCGTTTAGGAAGGTAATAAGAAAACCCTTGGAATAAATAATTAATAGGAGAGATTACGGAAATCTCACCACCCGTGACATTAAACCCCCTAAATCTAAGCACTCCCACTTTTTTAATGATTTTCTCCCCGCTCCAAAACCCCAGGCTCTAATGCAGGGTTATTCGTAAGTCCCGACCACCAAGACTAGACCTAATCATCGACTAAGAAACTAGTCCACGCCACGATGTAAGAGGATCGGAGAATCCGTAAATTAACTCGTGTGACCGTCATGATGTCACGGGTCAGTTTCTCTGCCCCCAGTGGAACAGGATGATGACCTCCAGAGATCCGAGGAGGAGTCAGTCATTCGAGCCAAGACAAAGATGGATCGATAGATTAGATTCGGAGATAGGCGCTGGCTATTCGGGGATATTGATGACGACTTGTTCGGGGGGATTTTAAGTCCGGTGGGGGAACCGGCTTGTTTGTATACTGTGGACTAGATGCCAATAGGACTAAGGTGGTTGTTGTTTGTAACGCGAGTTCGCGGCATGCGTGTTAGTTGGGTTTAGGGTGAAGTCTGATCATAAGGTTTGTACGGATACAGTCGGTTTAATCGCCATATGTATCAATCTCCTGATAAATCACGCCATGGTGGACGGGAACAATTGAAGCGATTACTACGGTTTTCTGGGTGGGATGATAGGATATTGATAATCGTGACAACTCATGGCGTATCCGTGCTCGTGATATAGACATGTTACGTATTGAACTTTGATTGAAAGGAGAAAAAACAAGATCATTCGTACTTTTGAATCTAGGCCATTTGGGACTCGGGAAAGGGTGAAGGTGTCAAAATCGGGGAACGGGCCCCGAAGGACTAAAAGAGAAGATTATCAATCGTCCGTCCTTGAATTAGGAACGAGTACGGAACGAATCAGTGCCGAGCGAAGAGGCGCTGTTGGTGACGTGTGGACCAATCACGGCGGCGGAAGATTGAACGGGGGCGTGAAGGTTCCCTCGCCGGCGGGACGAGATAACAAATAGTTACCTGGGCTAGTGTCTGGGTAATTTTAATTTGGCATTATGTGCCCTTATGCGTCTTGGTCCTCTAGTGACCGGTGGCTAAAAATCGGCGTGAGCCGAGGAGAAATCTTCAGCGAGGGTCTATTGGGTGGAGATGGTGATAGATTAGAATGTCAAGAAGGAGATGGAAGGCATCCGATGATCCTATCAGCGTGGCGAAAATAATGCTGACTTGAGAGAAATTTCGTGCGCAGCGAATGAGGAAGCAGAGAATTAGGCTTATTTCCATGACCGACAGACTAGGTACTGTTCTGGGAAGGTGCATTCCCACTAGACCCAGAACGCTAGGCCAGATACGGCAGCGGTGGAGCCGGATGATACGATCTGGGGAGAAGCAGAGCAATCATGATGGATGCAATGGAAAGGGAAAGCGAAAGAGGGAATGTGACTTTACTGTTAGCCAAAAAAAATCAAAAAGAGATTTACCACAAGGCAAAAGCTTTGCAAATTAACCAAAACTCAACAAAGCGATCCTTTCCCAACTTCTTGCGCGACGACAAGCACTGAACAATCCTCAAACAACAGTCCACTGCAGGGGAAAAAGCAAAAATACCAGCGAGAAAGACCGGTGTAGATCCTCGCCCCCTGGAGATCGATAACGAAACGTCCTTCGATAAGACCACGCTGTTGGGACTCGGGAATGCGACTTGGGAGCCTTTTCCAGGCAACAAGAATAGAAACGTAAGGGTACGTGGTGGTCTGGCCCTTTTTTCGTTCTTTTCTTCTTTCATCTTCAGCAGCAGCAGCAGCATCATTATTACCCACTTTTTCCGCCTTTCCCAATTGTGTCCTCGTTCTTTATCAATCAATCTATCTCTCACGCCTCATTCTTCATCCTTCCCACGTCGTCATCCTCCCCCCTCTCTCCTGTCCCTTCCGCAGAAATCTCGTGTGATTATTTTCTTTTTTTAGTGGATTTGGTATTTTTCTTAAATTCTATATTTTATTTTTCTTGTGAACCCTGGTCACCTCCACACATCATATCTGATCGGATTGATTGATCGTCCTTCCCCGTCGATCTTTCTTGTCTACACTTTCACTTTACATTCCACCCCCTGCTTCCACCTGTCGAGTCTTTCAGCTTGCCTCTCATTCTCCTCAACTCTATTATTCATTGTAATCTCCATCCTTACCAAAACAGAAGAAAGAAAAAAATCCAGCACCGATAACCGCTTCAACCACCACCTGGCGTCACGCCGCATCGCCACCCAGCCTCGTCTCGGATTGGCCAACAAAACCACCTTCGTGGCAGATCAGGCGTCTATTTCCATTCTCCTTCTAGTCGAATACCTCCTCCTCCTTCCTTTTTCACTTTCGGGAATCCGTCTCCACCTTATTATCTCTGAGCCGCTGTCAGGGATACTCGGTCTCTCTTCCCCGGTTCCGCCTGGTTGGTTTAGGAGTCACACTAGCTGCATCTCTTTTTACTCTACCGGTTCGCCCTTCGAGTTAGGCGTTTTTAAATTTTCTTTTTCTCCTGCACTGTCATCTTGACCGACTTTTGACTTTGTGATACAATACATTACAACATCGACTGTGGTGCAACCTACCTTCACCCTCCCTTTTATTTCGACGATCCGCCTCCAACGGACGTCCGCGTTAGCTCTGGGGGCCTATACTGCCCTTCCCTGGGTTGTCATCATCCCGGAACACCAAGCAAAGAGCAGATACCTTCTTCTGACCGACCGCGGTGGAAATGTTAGCATCCCTCCCGCAGATGGAGACGGCACGATCGCTCCCCCGGAATCCGGACGTTGTTGCGCGACACCCGTCCGCAGAGGACCTTGATGCTGCGCAGCAGTTGATATCATCGGCCCAGGCGGGTCGGGAACATCCTGTCGACCGACTTCGCGATGAAACAGGGCCTAAACGCTACGAAGAAATGCCCAGTCGTGGTCCGTATGAAGCAGACAAGTTCTTGGATGTGTCGACGCCGTATCCGTCGGAAATTGGTGCAGCTCAGTCAGACAAGTCATCGTCGCCGAAGTCCCAGAAAGATACTTCATTTCTAGGGCATTCGTGTAGGTGAGTATTCAGTCTTCCTTCTTGGCTTAGATCTTGCACGCCGTTACTAACTTGAGACGCTTCACAGTAATTGTGGAACAAAAAGCACTCCATTATGGCGGCGTTCCCCGACGGGAGCTATGATCTGCAATGCTTGCGGTTTATATTTGAAGGCTCGTAACGTTGCTCGACCGACAAAGCGCAACCGTGTACAGACAAGTCCAGAAATTACGCAACCACCGAGCAATCCCTCGCATCCTCCGCACGATTCCCCTGCTCCATCATCGCACAAGGGAGGGGGCTGTCATGGTTCCAAAGGTTCGTGTCCTGGGGGAGGGAACTGCAATGGTACAGGAGGGGCTGAGGGGTGTGACGGATGCCCCGCTTACAACAACCGTGTGTACAAGTCGACTCCCCGGGGCACGGTGCCTGTGCATGCTTGGAATCGAGCAACAACCTCCGACAGCGAGAAGCCTCTTCCTCTACAGGAGCCCGAATTATCGGTAAAGAATGGCACTCCAACGACAACAGAAGGCAATATGCTGGTATCCTGCCAGAATTGCGGCACTACGGTAACTCCACTCTGGCGACGAGACGAGAATGGTCACCCCATCTGTAATGCGTGTGGTAGGTTTTTTTCCAATATTCCCCCCTCCCAATTATTATAGCAAAAGCCGTAATTGTATTGACAAATAATTTAGGTCTCTATTACAAACTGCACGGTTGTTATCGGCCTACCACGATGAAGAAGACTATCATCAAACGACGGAAAAGGGTTGTGCCGGCGCTGCGAGAGCATTCTCCGACGGGTGCCACGCAGTCATCGAATGGGTCTTCTGCCTCACCGGAAGCGTCTCCTGCTACATTAGCTCCTCACGACGACCATTATCGTTATTATAGCTCGGAACCCATGGACCGTTACAAGCACATGTCTGGTGATCGTATCTCACCGCAGGCCCCAAGGCAGTTTGGCTTCGCGCCGCCGCCTGTTGATTTCACGGGGTTCGGCTCTGCGACGATGTCCTTGCCGCACCACCCTCCCCCCCCGAGGCTGTTGGAGCCAGATCGTATCAACGCTCCCGGCCATTCTCCCGTCTCCCAATTCGCTCGACGATCCCTCTCGCCTAATCCTGCGAATCCCAAGAAACGGACTCTTGCAGAGACCGCGTCATCTGCGGAGGCGTCGCGATCCCCACAACGTTGGAATCAGGGTCGAACCAACTTCCACCTATCATGTCAGCTGCCAACCCGTCCCCACCGGGCCGGCTCAGCTCGATTTCTTCCATTCTCAACCACCCTAACACGCGGGACGAGTCACGCTTGGACCCGTCGCTCGCTGCGCTGAGTCGCCAGCAGCACCAACACTCACACCAGGCTCTGGCACCTCCGCCCCCTCAGCCCTTGCCCGGAGTCACGGAGCTCGACAGTATGCGGGAAGAACGTCGGGCTCAGCTACAGCGGGAAGCTGAGGAGATGCGGGAGATGCTGAGAGCGAAGGAGCGAGAATTGGCCGAGTTGGGACGGCAATGATCGTTATTTCCTTTCTGAGACTCGATGTCTGAATGTGCTTTTTGCTCATTTTTGTCCATTAATACACCAGGCGCAGCTGTTGCTTTCTGACGAGATACCACTTTCAACAGTTGAAGGATTAACCGGGGTTTTGTTTCCATATTCAGGGAAAAGTGGCTTTGGGTTTGTGAATTACCATGTGTTATTTGAAGCGGGAATAGCGGGTTTACCAGAAAAAAGAGTCCAGGAAGGCTTTGTCTTTATGTTTGATAACTACAGATCTCTCCTCAAATTGAGGTTTTAATTTCGGAAACGTCATACATACATACATAGATTGATGAGATAGATCGGGAATCGGATATTTGCATGTACAGTAACCGTGCATGTTTCGAGTTCGTTGAATATGACCGACAGACAAGTTCAATGTCGTGCATTCGGCACGGCCCGAGATCGAGGAGTGAACTCATCATGATGTATATGACCTGACATACTTCAACATACATACATCCTTAGATGCATTAGTCCAGAATGCAAACCCAACCTCACCAGCCATACATACATACACAAAACACAACCCTAATAAACCCATCAAATAATCAAAAGAGGAAAAAAGAAAAAAAAAAAGAAATGTCCCCAAAACCCTACACCCTAACCTTCACCGGCGACGTCATGCTCGGCCGCCTCATCGACCAACTCCTCCCAACTCACGTCCCCAGCCCAACCGACCACGCCACAATCACCAAAATCCTCCAAGCCTACCCATCCCTCAAATCTTACTCCCCCCGTTCCCCCTGGGGATCCGCCCTGCCCTTCCTCCACGCCTCAGACCTCAACCTCATTAACCTCGAAACGGCCGTCACCACCGTGGACACGCCCTGGCCGAACAAAGCGTTCAATTACAGGATGCATCCCCGCAATCTGGAGGCCCTGAAAGTGGCCAACATCGACTACGTGAGTCTGGCGAATAACCATACGCTGGATTTCGGGGAGATGGGGCTCGGGGAGACGGTTGAGGCGGTTAGGGGCGCGGGGATTGCGTTTGCGGGTGTTGGGGAGGAGGGGCCGGCGGTTTTGAGGTTGGGGCCTAACGGGGATGGTGGTGGTGGTGGTTCTTCTTCTTCTGCTACTGCTGGTGATGGTGGCAGTGGTGAATCGAAAGAGTATAAAATCCATATCTACTCCGCCTCAGACCACCCACGCGCCTGGTCCCGCATCCCGCAGTTCAATTTCATAGATTATAGCTCTGCTACACGTGCAATGCTCAAGACGCTCCTGACCCGCGGGGAGCAGCCCGCGCTGAAGATCTTCTCGGTGCACTGGGGCCCGAACTATGCGTGGCGGCCGGCCGGGGAGATCCAGGCTCTGGCGCGGTTCCTGGTCGACGAGTGCGGGGTGGATATTGTGCATGGGCATTCGGCGCATCATCTGCAGGGCGTCGAGGCGTATCGCGGCCGGTGGATTCTGTATGGGTGTGGGGATTTCGTAGATGATTATGCGTTGGATGCGGAGTTTCGGAATGATCTTGGGGCCCTGTGGAGGGTTTTGGTTGAGGAGGATGGGAAGGGTGGGTTGTCTTTGGGCAGGTTGGAGGTTGTGCCGACGAGGTGTCGGCTCTTTGAGGTCGAGG